TTCGGGCCACTCGTCTTCTAGTTGGGGGGGGGGGGGGCTTCGGGCTGGGCTTAACATTCACAGAGCTTGGACAAGGCAAAAAAGCGTTCGTACGACACTGTGTTAGGCCGTAGGAGCGTTTTGCCGTCCAACCCAGCCCCAGTTGCCAACTCCAGGCTTGGACAGCGTCGCAGGAGCATTTTGCCTTGTCCAACCCAGCCGCAAGCCCAAAACCAGCCTAGGACAGTGTCGTAAGAGCGTTTTGCCTTGATTAAAATAGGCCCATGCAACAAAACGCGAGCGTCCTGCCTTGCCCAATAGCCAGGTTAGGACAGCGTCGTAGAAGCGTTTTGCGTGGAGCGTTTTGCCTCCCGAACCAGCCTAGGACAGTGTAGGAGGAGCGTTTTCCCTTGCCCAACCCCAAAACCTGGCCCAACCCAGGCCCAGGACAGTGTTGTAGGAGCGTTTTGCCCTGTCACTTGTCCAACCCAGCCTCAAGCCCAAAACCAGCCCAGATGTGTCGTAGGAGCATTTTACCTTGTCCAACCCAGCCCAAGCCCAAAACCAGCCTAGCACAGTGTCGTAGGAGCGTCTTGCCTAGTCCAAGCTCTGTAAATGTTTAACCCAGCCCGAAGGCCGAAGCCAGCCCAGCAGAAACTACCCGTGTTAACCCGCAAATTTGAAAAAAACTCGAGAGTCTCGACCAAGCCAACATGTCTTCTTCCGTGCCCGATTAAGAAATTTCCTGACCCTCGCTTCAGAAAGACAACTTCTTATCAAAAGCCTTCACCGAACGCCGGGTAAACATTCCCTCCACCCCCGGTGTCAGGCAGGAGGTGCTTGCAGGTGCAAAACCAATCTTGTTGTTGGCAGCATTTCTTGAGGCGTCGCGTCCTCCGGCATGCACTGCGGCACCCGGCGTCGGGCCACCAGCAGGCGAGCAGCCGTGCCTTGAACACGACGATTCAACAAATCTTGGATTTCGCGTTGATTCCTGCGGCACACCTGGCGGCATAGGCTGAGCGACGGGCATGCATCAACAACAACACAACGCCGACCTGCAGGCCCAAGCTGGTGGTAGCTACTGGCTCCGAGCATAATGGAACGACCTGACTTTGTCTGTCACAACATCAACGGACACATGACAACGTAACAACCGAACCTTCAATGGTCCCTCAGGGTGCTTCTGGCAAAGCCAGAGCGGTGTCCCATCACGGCAAGAGGGAAAACACCGCCGAATGCCGCCGTGCGCACCCGCCATGACGAGGGCGAGATGCATACCGGGGATTCTCCCATGAGTCCAACTAGCGCCCATAACACGACCTACTACTACTACTACTACTACTACTACTACTACTACTACTCCTGCTGCTGCTACTACTACTCCTGCTGCTGCTGCTGCTGCTACTACTACTACTACTACTACTACTCCTGCTGCTGCTACTACTACTACTACTACTACTACTACTACTACTACTAACTACTACTACTGCTGCTGCTACGACAATGCACTACGACGACGACGACGACGACGACGACGACGACTGCGACGACGACGACGACGACGACGACGACGACAGCTGCTACTACTTATTCGGGCCCCTGTTGGACTACGTTACCGGGCACCCTAAACCCCAAACCCTAATCAGGGGGCCTTGATAATCAGAATAGGGTTCTGTAAAGTATATTCATGATGAGGAATCCTAAGAATAATATTGGTAATTATTTAGGCTTCTATATTAATCCTAAACCATCAGGGCTGAGATCTTTACAAGAAAAGTCGAGCGGACCCAGGCTCTCGCCTTCGTGTTGGGTCTTCTTGCGTTTTGGGGCTCGGAGTTCATCCCGCACCCCAAACCCTAAACCCGAAAAAAAACCCTAGACTGTCCCTAAACCCTAAACAACCCTAAACAACCGTACACCCTAAACAACCCTGAAGCCTGAACACTAAACAACCCTCGCGTGATTGTGATTGCTTGAAAAAGACCAACTTAAGGCATTCCTCTCGTGAAGCTTCACGGAAGACCCGAAGCACCGTAAACATCCCTGGGTCCCTGTGCCTCTATGGATCCATAGACACCCCACTGCGAACTTAAACTCGTCAAGCCCAGGAAGAATCGGAACTTGATTTGAAAGCCACAAGGATCACAAGGTAGTCCGAGTTTCAAGAATCCCCCCGATGTAGCAGTCTATATAAGTGCAAGTTGACATGTCGCTGCTGTCTTGAAGAGGCGATGATCATGCTTTGTTGTATGTGCTACTACGGCACTATTTCTATACACCCATCTGTGTGTATGTATGCATGCATGCATGCATGCATGCATGCATGCATGCATTCATGTATGTATGCATGTATGCACGTATGTATGTATGCATGTACGTATGTACCTACATAAAGATAGAAGATACTGGAGAAACGAAGTGGGTTATAACAGTTAAACCAGTAAAGATAAGTTTCAGTGGGCTACTGCAAGACAAGAGAACGTGGGGCGGTCCCGTAGCGTTCTGAAGTTGCATGTGCAGGACACGCTGGAGGCCTCAGTGGAGGTTGCGTGAGGCGAGTCTGAGGCGTCAACCGTAAACCCTTTTGACCCTAGGACCCCGCCATATCTGTTTTCTAAACATCTCTAAACCCTGATGGGGTCGTCCCCTCGTCGGCAATGGCCCGATAGCCGCAATACTCCAAAGTGGTAGGCCCCAAACCCTAAACCCCAAACCCCTAAACCCTAAACCCCTAAACCCCTAAAGCCCTAAACCCTAAACCATGCGGAGCCTTGCCGGTCGAAACCCTTTGGTTTAGGGTTTAGG